ATATGATCTAGCAGCACTTAAATTTTATTGCAAAGGATAATTAATAAATCCCCAAATTCTAACACTTGGGTCAAATTTCTTGTATTAGAAAAGATATCAAGCCAGGCATAGCAGCACATATCTGTAATGCCAGCTCTCTGGAAGTAGAGGTTTGTGAGTTACAGGCTGCCCTAGGCTGTAGTGAGACTATCGCTTAAAAAAAGTGCAACATGTACACACACAAGCGTACACATACACACATACACGTGCATGCTCACACTCACTGGGGGGGTGCATTTTAGATCTCAACCTTGTATATGAATTTGTATTCCCTCGTAGGTTTCTAACATGGAGACTTAGCTATAGAGGGAATGCATATTATGGCCAAGTCTGACGTCTCTGTCCCTTAAGACTGGCAGATGGCCTGCTTTGATTAACTGCGCTATGTGCTTATAATGGTAGCTTTGGGATCTGTAATTTTATATATACTGATTTATAATGCCCTGAGTTGTGAATGGTTCTTTTTTAAAATTTTTTTAGATTGTTTTATTTTATGGGTTTGTGTACCACATGCATGCCTGGTGCTCTCAGAAGTCAGAAAGGAGCACTGGATCCCCTGGAACTAGAATTACAGATGTCTTGGGCCACTGAGTAGGTACTGGGAATGGAACCCAGGTCCTCTGAAAGGACCACGTGCTCTTTACCACTGAGCATCTCTCTAGCTCCACATTAGTGTTTTGATAATGTATCCCTTTGCTTTTAAAGCTAAGTGAATCTTGCTTTAAAAACCTTCTCAGCTGAGGATGGAAGATGGCTCAGAGGTTAAGTGTGTGTGCTGGCTGCTCTTGCAGAACACACACTGCGCCCGAGTTCATTTCCCGGCATGTCCATGATGAGCACCTGCGCGCTCTCGTTCTCTCTCTCTCTCTCTCTCTCTCTCTCTCTCTCTCTCTCTCTCTCCCCGTCTCTCTCTTATGCACACACACACACACAATCTCGCAGACACTTTCCCTGGGGCTGCAAAGGCAGCTGCTGTTGGCACTGTTTGGCACCATTTGTATACAGAGAACTTAGCAATCATTGGCTTGCAAACGGAAGTGCTATAAAAAGCAGATCTATCTACATGAAAATGATTAATCCATTAATGGACACGGCGAACAAACTTTAATCCCAGCGCTTGGGAGGCAGAGGCAGGAGAATCTCTGTGAATTTGAGGTCAGCATTGTCTATGTAGCAAGCTCTAGGATAACCAGGGTGACATAGAAAGACCCTGTTCCGAATAAAACAATACAGAAGAGGACTGTAGAGTGAGAACTCAGTCAGACTCCTTCCTTGTCTCTGCAGAGGACATACCCACTGCTGACCTTTTGGTGGGGATCTCCGGCAGCACCGAAAACAAATCCCCTTTCCCAACACTCAAAGTTTTAAATTCTACAAAGGTTGTGCTCATGTATGTGCCCGGGTTTGGTTAATTACATTTACACGTAATGCTACTTCCCATTACAGAAGCTACGAGAACACTTGCCTCAGTGTTTCAATACTTGCTTGGTTAATTGTTTCTCAGAGTGACGGTCGGCAGAGAAGAAGGAAACACAGAAATGTAAAGTGTACATTAATTAGCAGACGGTATTGGCTTGGAATGGACTTTTTGAAGAGGGTAATAAGGTCTTGATTGTTTAATCTTAAATTCTGTTTACCTGGTGTGTACTATGTGCCTGGTCCTTGATGATTTCAGGCCAGGGGTCTGATGGCAGGGACAGCAGTGTCTCCCAGCTTGGGAAAAAAACAGATCCAGTGGAGGAAATTAACCAGGTGGAGGGGCTTGTTAACTCCATTCCAAAAGGAAGAATTATGTATGCGTGAGTCTGTTCATTTATGCTCGGGATGTAATTCTCAGATTGTTTTAAAAACATATCATTTCTAGGTAAAATAAGGATATTTCTATCCATTTATCTGCTGTTATTGGGACAGTCATGGCTTTGGGAGACATTTTAGTTCACATGAGAGTGACTTCCGTTTTAAGTATTATAAAAAGATTTCTGGTCGGGGCTAATATTTAAGTAGCACCTGACTTGTCTGGTTGGGTTACCTGATGACTACAGAAGAAGTGGTTTTAATAAACTAAGCCTTCATTTTGTCAGGAAGTCCAAACACAGAAGAAGCACCTATCCTATCAAAATCCTCCATATGCAATAAAGAAAGAACCTTCCACCTACAAGAGATTCATTCTGAGAAACTGTCCGCACACAGGACACATATGCCCCGCACTGTCGGTATGGTTCCCTTAGTTTGCTCTAGGAAGCTCTGGGATGTGGATCTAAACGCTCTTTGTTCTCTTCAGAGAGTGATTGACAGCCTGGAGGACGAGAAAGAAGCCCTTACCTTGGCCATGGCCGACCGGCTGCGGGAGTACCAGGAGCTTGTGCAGGTGAAGACTGGCCTCAGCTTGGAGGTGGCCACCTACAGGTGAGACTATGCTGAGTCTGTCTCCACGAAGCCAGTGATAGGAGGTCCCTGTGGCCTTTGAGGAATCCCTGTGGCTGTGTGACGAGGAGAGAACAGTCCATTGGCATGGCTAAGTGAGGATCACAGAATCAAAGGGAAGGGAGGAGAAAGAGGGAGATGGGCTCGCTCCAGGTCCACTGTGTTTCTGTATCCTGGACATAGTTTAATAACGTGGCCCATGTCTACTTTGATCTTGGGAGTTAGGTGGTCAACTTACAGAAGAGCAAGCTGAGCTCAGAGAAGTTAGAGGTACAGAGTGAAGGGTCAAAGTTTGGGTGCCAGGGGTCTGCACTGCTGCTTCAAAATCTTAGGGGACTAACCTTCTGGGTGTCTTGGGTTTGGTCTTGGAAAAACAGCATCTGTGCTCTGAGAGTAGCCTGATACTCCAGAATAGCTTTTCTTTACTAAAACATCAACTTTAATACAATCAACCCATAAAGGTCACGATGTATTTAGAGGGTGTGTGTGCTGAGTAGGGCATAGAAGGCAGGTAGGTAGTCCTTCGCCCATTGGCTCTCTTTCCTGGTTGGACCCCTCCCTCAGGTGGACGCTAATGATTGGTTGAGGTGGTGCCCTCCCTTCTGGCAGCTTTCCTATACGGTGAGGACTGGCATAGAGAGAGTCAGAAGTTAGCAACCGAGACCGGGGTTGTCGTTATTAAGGATGGTGCATCATGGATCTGCTGTGCTGGGCAGGCATGGTGCTCAGCATCCTCTGCTCCCCATCCCTCTCTAAGTGGTTGTCATGCATCGCTCTCACAGGTGTGACAGAGATGTTTGCGGCTTGGGGCTGTTGGGGGTAGGGACAGAACCAGCCAGCTCTGGTTGTGGACCTGTGCCTTTCCCACCAAACCATGTAAAAGGGGTCATTATAATAGCCACTTCATCCCCAGAATTACAATCACAAATCTGTTACATGTAGACGGGACTTTGGACCCTGCCCTGGCCAGCAAAGAGTGCACAGTTGTCAGTGAAATATTGCAACGGTGGGTGTCACCCCTAGCAGAGGACAGAGTTAAGCCTGGAGTGGCTAAGCAGGGAACGCTGACTAGGGACAGAGCAAGTAAGAGCCAGCCCCAGCTCGTTATTCCCTGCAGTGCCTCTGCCATGTCTGATTTATGCTATCAGAATATCAAGCAAGTTGGGTTGCTTTATGCCCATTGAAAAACAATACCGTCTGTCTGGTGTCCGCTTTTAGTTCACCCCAGAGTCTTGGGCTGCCCATGATGTGTTTCCTGAGTGGAAGACTAGTTTTTGCTTGGTCCTAATTTCCATTAATGGAGAAGAAGTAGGCTATTGGGAATCTTGGGCCCTCGAAGGTTGCTAAGAGGCAAAGTCTTCCTTTGAAGATGTGACTGCTCTTGGAGAGTCTCAGCTGAATTTGAGGTTTGGTCCTGGGGCTATACCTTGCTTCCCACACTGCAAAGGGTACCTGGATCCGGAGCTTAGAGAGCGAGGCAGGGCACCTTCCTGTCATTCCTCCCCTAGGTCCTCCCCACGCATTCTTAGAAATCTCATGGAATTAACAATTGCAAAGTTAAGCTGGTTGGGTATTCGCACATGCTTCACAAGTGTTCAGAGTTCTGCTGCTAAGGGATACTGTAAACAGGCGGGCGAGAAAGAGAGCGTTAAAGAGGACCGTTTTCCAAGTGTGAGTGATCAACATCCTTCTCAGACCAGTGAGAGTCAAAGAAGGAATGTATTACTCATACAACAGAAAGCAACCGAGTCAGGATGAGGCCCGCCCTGTGGGCTCCTTCCACCATGTGAGAGCTCTGGGCTGACGAACTCCCGGCCTCAGGCTCCTGAGCCAGATCTCTGGTTTTGTTTCCTTCCCTAACCAGGGGAAAGAAGTGTTCCAGAGTTGGGTGGGGCCTGTCTCTGGTGAGGTGTGTGGACTGGGGCTGGCCCTTGTGGGAGGGAGCCCAAACTAGGCACTGTTCTATGGCACATGCCAGGCAGCCCCCAAATCTGACTCCTGTGTCCTTCTTAGCTATCACCTGCTGTCAGGAGTGGAGGGGGCTCTTCCCTATGGAGATGGTCAGGCTTTCCCATTTCCTTTTTGTATTAGTTCACAGAAGGAAACCGGTTTCGTATGTTGCTTCTCTGGGGTTTTGAGCCCCTTTCATCCTCACTTGCCATGCCTCTGGACCTTGGCCGCCAGAAAGCAAGCGTGCACGGGCAGGCGGCTGGTCTAAGTGCCCAGAGCCTGTCTTTTGGCTACGGCGCTCACAGCATTCCCGGTTTCATGTTTCTAAGCACATTGATTAGGAGCCGTTTCTGCTTCAGTCAGCGGTCTGACCATCTGCAGGGATGCAGTTGATTGCTTCTGTCTGTGGCTGCCATGCTTCTAACCTCATTACGGGTGAACATGGCCATCTCGTAGGCACTTAAAACCTGCCAGCCCTTTCAGGGAGCAAATGGTGGGTTCACTGGACCCCTTCCTGCTGTCCAAGTTTGCCCAGGGGAAATCAGAAGCCTAGGCTGCCTCGCCCTGCCCAGGCTGGCTTTGGTGGTTAGTGTGGCTGTAGCTCCCACCTCCTGCACTTGGGTTTAGTCTAGTAGACACCCACAGATACTGAAGACACACAGACTGTCAATACAGCTCATGTCTTTATGTAAGTCAAAAGCCTGGGTTTTGTTTTCTTTATCAGCAAGGAGTGTATTGAAGCGAGTTCTTTCTCAGTCAGCTGTGTGTGAGAACAGGTGTGGTAATTCCTGAGCCTTATAGCGCCCTTGCCGACTGGTGACCTAGGCCCTTTTGTTGTGCCCTGTGATCTTTACAAACTGACCTGCCAATTTTGAAAACCGACTCTTCTGCTTTCTGGAAGCAATGGGTGGAATATTCGGTCTCGCAGGGCAGAAGGGTGACAGCGGCTGACACAGAGGCAAGACCTGCCCCCGGCTGGGCCTCCTACGATTTACCCCAGGCTTTCCCTGTGCTGGTCAGGGCTCCCAGTGGTTCATTGACTGTCAATGTCCCGCGGTTCCTCTGACTGAAGAGGTCACAGGAAAGGGAAGGGATTGCACCTCTTTAAAGCTGTGGGCACATTTCGCTACAGTTTATCTGCTGCCCAAGGCTAGCTCTCCAGGGCCTTGAATGCTTTCCAACACAGACAATTCGCTCTTCCTGGAACCTTCACGGTGAAGGAGAAATGTTAAGTAGCCATAAAATCAGGCTGCATGTTTACAGCTCCTCAATGCTGGCTCATTTATTATATATATAACATATAATATATATTAAATGTAAGATAGGATGGAAAACCACCCAAACTTAGAAGAGTCCAAGGCTGGAGGTTCTCATCAACTCTCCTTGACCTCCCCTCCATGGCCAGGCCTGAGCGGCACCTCTGTAAAAATGAGGCCTCAGGCACGGAAGGCAGCCAGCATGGTCTTGGCCTTCTACAGTGAAGGTGACTGTTGGCAGTGGCTGTAGGACCCTGCTTGGGCTGTGGGTAGCAGAGAAGGGACAAGGCAGGCGGGCAAACAGGGGTTGTGCTCACTTCTGCCTCAGGGCTGACCATAGCAGTGTGGCCTGGGAGTGTTTTTGCTTCCTTGCTCGTCACCACCAGATTTTCCCAGCAGCCAAGCTGTGAGAGGGAGGATTGTTTAGATGCAAAACAGAAAATCTCCTGAGTTCCTGGAAAGGTGTCGCCCCCTGGGCCCTTACCCCAGGGATTCTATTGAACCTGAAAACTTCAAGGAGTGAAACCAACGCCATGATTATCCAACTGAAGCAAGCTTTATTAAATATTGGCCAGGAAGATGGACACTGGCTAGGTCGATACCCGGGAGTCCCAGAAAATGGTGTTGAATTAGGTTAGTCGGGTGCTCAAAAAGGCAGAACCCACAAGGCTGTGGTACTTTCTGCCGTCATCCAACTGGGGCAAGCATACATTCTGATGTGCCTCCTGCCTACCTACATACTTCCTGCCTAAGTACCTCCTGCCTGCATCTGACCAAGCACATCATGTGCACTTGGGGCAACCAAGCTTGTTTACTAAAGTGAAAACACGTGACTTGTTATTGTGCGTGAACCACAACAACCCTCAGCATTCCAGGGCAAGCGGGGCTTACAGGTCAACTTCAGCCCCTACGATTCCGATTGGGTTGGTGCACGGTGGGACCAGTTGTGGAGGTCTTAGCCTCCCTCTAGGTGATTGGCAGGTACCACCAGCATGGAAAGTCTCTGGCCCAGGACCTCTGGGGTGTGCACCCAGCAGCTGCTACAGTATGGAGCATCGCCAGCTCATTGGAAATGTGGAATCTCAAGCCCAGCCCCAAGCTGCTAGATCCAAGTGGCCCTCTGATGAGAGCCAAGGCAATTGTGTATGGGGGGGGGGGGTATGCTCATGTGCGTGTGTGCATGTGTGCGTGCGCACTGCTGCTTGGAAGCAGTTGGTATCACTGTCAGGCTTAAGCCTGTCTCAGCAGCAGCCTGGAGGAGAGACCACAGTGGAATGCTGCATGCCGGAGGGAAAGTGGGGTGCTTTTGCAGCAGATGTGGCTATTTCCGTGGGGCCAGAGTGGATCTGTGTGAGGTCACAGAGTCCCGGGAATCCACCTGGCGGAGACACAGCGTGGATAGAATGTGAGGTGAAAACGCCCTAGCTCACGCTGTTGATAAGTCGGAGCACGAGATTTGAACTTCAGGACTTTCCCTTTGTGGAGCTGGATACTGGGATACTGTGGACAGTGTATGGTTGCAAAGGTTACAGCAAGAGGAACCAAGGGCCTGTGGGAATTCTGAAGGTGCAGTTCTTGGTTCTACAAAAGGGAAGTCAGGAAACCACTGTGCAGGCTGAGAAGGATGGTCTGGGCAGAATGAATGACAGGCATGAGGACAGATGGGGTGGCACTGGTGACAATGACAGTCATTTGAGGGCGTGACCTGGAGGGCTGCATGCAGGTCATGCATGTGCCAGAGCCTCACCCATGGGCTGTGTCGTGTGAGGGAAGTCC